CTGAGAATATACTAAGAAGAATCAGGTAGGAGTCCCTGCCTGGCAGAAGCAGTCACATCTGACTTGAAATATCCCCCCACTGGTGCCAGGCACATTGCTGTGTTCTTTCCTTACATTCTCGTTGGTGGGAGGAGACCCGGGAGATGGGGAGAAAACTATATCTGTCATTCAACAACAAACAAACCATTATTAAGATTACACCCTGCCAGGCACAGTGCCAGCTGTGGAGCAGAAAGACTCAGTAGGGCTCTGCTCTCTGGCTCCCTGGGTCTCGGCTGGCTGGATTCCAGGTCTCTCCATTCTGCCCAGGGCTGACCTGAGCAGGGAGGGATCCCCAGGCTTCACAAGCACCCAAGAGGAGCCTGAGTTTGGTCTGTCTCTCTAGACAGCTGCTTCTCCATTCCCCAGAACACTGCTGGAGGGGATCATGCCTATCAGGACTAATGAACTACTTTAATGGAATGAACCAGTTTTACTGGAATTTAGCCCAGGTGGGAGAAATCTGTACTTTTCTAGAGGCAGAAATGCTAAGTACCAGGGAGTCTTGCCAACCAGGCCCTGGGCTAGCATGTGTGTGGGGGATGAAAGGTGCTCTCTGGACCCACACTGGGTCCCCAGCACAATAGTCTTGAGCAAGGAAGCCTCTGGGGGTCCACTCAGCTGGTCCCATGAACACTGATCTACATGCACAGGCCACATGGGCCCCACATCATTCTCTGTCCTTGGCCCAGCCCTGGGTCAGTGTCCCAGAGGTCACTGCTGCTGTTAGCCTGAAATCCCTCAAGGAGAATGTACCTGTAAGCTGTCACCCAGGTCCCTTCCAGCCCTATGACTCCAGGTCTATGGTTTATGAGGCCTTGAGTCCTGGCCAGGCCTAAACTTGTGGTCTGCACCCTTCTGATTTCTTCCCTTTGAGAGCTGGGCAATCACAGGCTGTCTTTGCAGTTCCCCAGAGCCCCATATACTACTTCACTGGGATTTTCACAGCAACCCAGCTCTGCCTCAGAACCATTGGGTAGAACCATTCTGGCTGACTTCCACAAGGCTTGGGTCACTCTGGGCTGTCATGTAAGGCTAGGTTCTCCCCAGATCCCTCCTAGGAAGAGGCTCTCACATTTGATTTGGAGCCTGGAAGTCTCTGCAGGCTGCTTGTGGGGGGGTGGGAGGCAGGATAAAATGAGCTGATAAGCAAACAGGAGGCTTCCAGCCTTCTCTCACCCTTCCTTCTCTTCTCCTTCCATGAGGGGAAAAGCCTATCACCTTCAGCCCCAGTGAGGATGTCTGATAAGGCAATTCAATTAACCAGGCTGGAGGGAGCAGGGCATGATGGGAAAGGATGCTGGCTCCTTGGCCTGGACCTGAAGGAGGAGGGGCTGGTCTCTGGCAAGAGCTGGGATGCCAAAAGCAGGAGGTGCCAGTGCCAATGGATGGGACTTTGCCTTGGCAGCCAGAGGGCCTGCTTCTGACAAAATATGTGATACCCCAAAAAGGAAGGTGAAGAGGATTGAATGGCCCCCAACACCCCAAAGAGGCTGAGCCCACACAAAGTCCCTAAAGGGGTAAGAGTACAGTGAATGGTTTTGATTTCAGGCTCTCGGCTTCCCACTGGCAGGATCAGCTTCAGCTTTCAGAGAACAAGGACCTTATTTGAGGTGGCTCTAGAAAGGCTCCAGGTACTTGACAGCCCCCATCAGTGTCCCTCTGGAATCAAACGTGGCCCTTTCTTCCTATCCATTTGCCATACTCTTACTCTTGGTAAGGGAAACCCACTGTGGCTGACACTTTAGTGTGAACTGGCTCCCAGACAGATGCTTTTCCCTGACAGCCAGAAGAAACTGGGCACCCAAGAGAGGAAGGTGGAGAAAAAGTGAAAATGGGAAAGGAACCTGGGGGAGTTAGGAATTACCAATTGTGGTTGCTTCATGGTCTTGCTTAAGCTTGTCAGTTATCAAAAGTCTTGGAAGAATGGAGAAGAGAGAGAGGAGGCTAAGTTCCAGATGGAGTGTTAGGCTGGGAGAGATACCTGAGGTCCTCGAATCAACAGGAAATCACCCCAGACCAAGACCAGCCCTTTATTTTCATGATCACAGCCCAGAACTGAGGTCCGGAGCCAGGATGTTCTAACACCACCAGGGGGCAGCACGTTCCCATCCACAGTAGGCAGTCACACAGCCGGCTGGGTAGGGGGCTCTCCTCTCCTTCCTGGGCTCTGTTTTAGGGGAATAGCATGCACTCACATACAAAGAACTGATGGGGACAAGCCCCATGATGCCAACTGCAGCACACTGACACCCCCAGAAAAGCCCAGAAAGGCTCAGGTAACCTGTTAGTTAAGAGCTCTAGAATAAAACCTTCAGCGAGCAGCAAAGCCCTCTGTGGAGGCCTCTGACCTGAGGCTGAGCTCCCCTCTCCAGGAGTTCATCAGCATGCTGAGCCGGGGGCCCTCCTCCCAGTGCACCGTGGCCAGGCTGCCTCTCCCGATCTGGGCCCTCTGTTTTGTTTGGCTCTTCCTGGGTTCCCCTATCCCCACCCCAGCTTTTTGCTCTCCCTTCCTTCCCTCCTGGCTTCCTTTTCCCTGGCAGGTTTCTCCCTTCACCCATGTCCCCAGGTGCGCGTCACCATTCACAAGCACTGCAGAATGGAAGCACTAATTGGGCGGAGACTTACTACAGGTGGGTAGGTGGGGAGGCTCTGTTTTACTCACTGATGTATTTCCAGACTGGAACAGCTTTGAGCATGTAGTAGGTATTCAATAAATATTTATTGAATGAATAAATGAGTCAGGTGTGGGATACTGTGACATTTTCCCCCCACACCCACTCCACCTCCATCAACCTCTCTCCCCTTTCTCAGAATGACTGAGTTCAGTGATGCTAAAAAATGGAAAACAGCTGAAACCCCAAGAGAGTTTGCCACAATAGAACTTTAAAGTTGTTCATTCCAGTCAATTCTTTAATATCTTCTCTGTGGTTCTTCCTCATTCCAGCTTCTGGTCAGTCCTGGATCTTTTCTTCCCGGTCACATTTGGGATATTTCTTTTTGCTGCAGCAAACTCAAAGCCACCTAAACTCTGAAATGTAGACATCAGGTCCAAGGAGTGGGGGGGACTGGGCACAAAGGGGGTGCCAGCAAATGTGTGTTTCTAACTACGGTCCAGGATGGTAGACACCTCCTCTGCACATTAGTACAGACCATCAAAGGTCATTGTCATTTTGATTTTCTGACCTCATTAATGACGAAACTTTTGCTTATAAAAATCCCTTGCATTTGCACTGGGCTTTTAATTTTTCCTGAGAGCACACACAGGCCCTTTTCTTGCTTTTCCCAATATAGCTAGGTACTGCCTAATCTGGAAATCATTTGGTGCATAGATGTCCAGGGCAGGTGTGTCAGTCATCTTGCATTTCTGCCTTAAAATCCTCCTTACATCATCACCCAGACATGGATGCTGCCTGGAGCTGTGGGGGAAAAAAGGGGTGGGGTGGGGTGGGGAGTATTAATTTTAAAAAGTAGTAGAGGTTCTGGACTTAAAAACAAATAAAAGCAAATGAATCTGGAACTTGCTCTTGGGATAGGGCCAGTAAAAGTCTGGTTTGTGCCTAATGTTTTGAACATGCAGCTTTCTCAATCACTTAGCAAACAGGTTTTCAGAGGCAGGGACTATGGGAGCTATCAAGATAGAAAAGCACAATGCGGCCTGGAGCAACTCAGGGTTAGAGAGGCAAGAAGAGACATAAACACGGGCAAAGTCAAATACGGGATCACAGGCAGGACATGGGCACTTACTGTGTGCCCTCCAGGGCAACGATGAGCAAGGCCGCCCACCCCCCACCCATAACATTTCTCGATGGACAGCGCCAGGGCTACGGTGCCCTGCACCCAGACCAGGAGCTGCTTCTCTGCCAGAGGCCAACGCGTCCCCCTTTTCTATCGCGGGGGCTCTGGTGACTGTGACAAGGGCGGTAAGCATCAGGACCTCGGGCATCTTGAGCCGGGTTGGGCCTCCAAGGCGTCGGATGGGAACGGGGTGGGCAGGGGCCTCCAACACGGTGTCAGGGGCAGGAGAGGCCAGCCTCCTCCTGGCGACACCGTCTCTCCACTTTCTTCCGCGGCCTCCAATCAGCTGCAGTGAAACGGCAACAATGCGACCAGCTTGGCGGGGAGGGGGCGACGGGCGCAACCAGAGCAGGCGCGCGGAGGTTAGAGGTCAGGGGTCGAGAGCGCTTCCCCCTCCCCTAGGCCACCTCTAGCCAAGGCCGGCGCCCAGCCCGGAGATGGGCAGACGCGTAGATGGCGTGGCTCCCAGCGCCGCCGGATCTGAGGAGCCCGGCGCCGGGGCGCTGCGCTGAGGCTCCCGCTTGGCTCGGCCCGGGAAGCCTGCAGGTGTCCTTGGCCACTCGACCGCCGCCCGGGGGACTCCTTCGCCGGTGCCCAGATCCCCGCTCCCCGGAGCGGCCCCGCCCCCCAGAACCGCTCGGAGGACTTGTTGCTGCTGCGTGCCGCCGCCGCGGGGATACCGGCCGCTCCCGGGGCTCTGCATGGTCTGGGAGTCGGAGGGTGGCCCGTGTGAGTGTGAGCGCGCGCGCGCCCCGGACCCTCGCAGTGCGTCCGGACTGTCCGCTTCCTCGTCTTTTCCGGGGTGAAGGGGGGGCGTGTCCCTGCCCCGAGCGTCTGTGTGTCTCGCCTTAGCGGGGGAGCGCGGGTGCTTGCCCCTACCTCCCCGGGCCCCTCGCTTGGGTCTTAGCTCTCCTCTTACCCTTCTGTCTCCCTGCCTGGGCGCTGCCTGCCCAAACCCCAACCACCTGTGCACCCAGGAAACCCAACTCCTCCGGCTCCGCGCTCCGGCGGGGAGGCAGGAGCAGGGCCAAGCCGCAGAGGGGGCCGCCGCCGCCTCCTGCCTCCTCCTGGTCTCCTCCTCCTCCCCCGTCTGACGCTGCCTCCTCGGGAAGGGTGTTTGGAGGGCAGCGGCCGCCCCAAGCCGGAGCCCCGCAGCGCTTCTTATGATCAGCTCGGTGTGTGTCTCCTCCTACCGCGGGCGTAAGTCGGGGAACAAGCCTCCGTCCAAAACATGTCTGAAGGAGGAGATGGCCAAGGGCGCGGCGTCGGAGAAGATCATCATCAACGTGGGCGGCACGCGACATGAGACCTACCGCAGCACCCTGCGCACCCTACCGGGCACCCGCCTCGCCTGGCTGGCTGATCCCGACGGCGGGGGCCGGCCCGAGTCCGATGGCGGAGTTGTGGGCAGCAGCGGCGGCGGGGGCTGCGAGTTCTTCTTCGACCGGCACCCGGGAGTCTTCGCCTACGTGCTCAACTATTACCGCACGGGCAAGCTGCACTGCCCCGCCGACGTGTGCGGGCCCCTCTTCGAGGAGGAGCTCACCTTCTGGGGCATCGACGAGACCGACGTGGAGCCCTGCTGCTGGATGACCTACAGGCAGCACCGCGACGCCGAGGAGGCGCTAGACATCTTCGAAAGCCCGGACGCAGGC